AGATAGTTCGCGCTAGTTCGTAAACGTTACTTCCTCGAAATCTAGATGGTTATATATTGAGTTAGATACTATCGATAGATTTGCCGGAAGACTCTCTCATTAAATGTTATTCCCGTAGATATCTTGCATTCCCCGGAGAAAGACCTCCAACTTGATGTTTTTTTTTATGATGGAAAACGTATCACGACTTACGGAACCTATTTACCAATATGGTATAGGTAAATTGATATATAAATACGTATTTATATTCTAATACATATGTCAATTGGTATTACGAGAGCTTAATGAAGATCTTCAATACATATTTACTCATTTACTTACTAACATTTTTATTATCACACGTATTCGTATCATTAAGGTCTTACATATGTGCAGAATTTTTAAAAAATCGATTTTTTCTTTTCAATCAGATTGTTTTTCAGTACTTGGATTAGGTGACCACTTTGGGAACACCGTGTGTTGTTGATTCCAAAATTCGGTCTAGTTTTTTAATACCTAGTTGGTTTCTAAATCCAGGCAAAGGAGGGGAAGTGAGACTAACAATCAAACCTACCCTCGATAAAAAGAATAAAACATTCCCGGAAATAGCAATAAAAAAGCTATAACAGAACCGAAATCCTAAAAAGAAGAAGAAGATAAAATCCAATTGGGTTTCTCCTACGCAATCAAATTTGGATTATAATGTAATACAAATGGGAGAAAGAGAGAGAGAAAGAGAATGCCATACAGTTTGAGTTGAGACACACACACAGTTAGAGATCAAATTAAACAGATTCAAAAATTGAAAGTAGGAAAACGATTGAAAAACGATCTCGCCGAACATACAAATTTTCTCTCTTGCGGTTTTGTTAGGACGACGGTGTACGGTAATATTCGAACGTTCTTTCTCGTTGATTGACCAGAGGGCGAAAAAAAGGAAAGGGAGGTGGAGGAGAAGGAGGAGGAGGAGGAGGGTCTCCACTTGGATTCGATGCTAATCGCTTCCTCGTCGTTCCTTAGGTTGAGCTAAGAATCCGGTCTGATACGCGATTTGATTATGTCGTACGCGTACTTCTACTAACCCATTACAATTTCAAACGAAGCTCGAGTTAGGAACGGGGAAAGGCATGGTGGGTACGATACGTACACCTACCGACCACCTACCTTTTTTTTCCATATTTTTTTTCTTATTTTTTTTTTATCTTTGCCAGCCTTACCCCCTTTTCTCTCTGTTATTTCTTCTTTTTTTCTTCTCTCTCTGTCTGTCTCTTTCTTTCTCAATGCCTCCTATGGTGCCGCCCAATCCACGCGGGAAAGTTACGGATTTGTTACTTACAAATTTCTTTTCTTTTTTTTTTAATCGCCCTCGGTTATATACATTACTACTATTACGAATGTAACACATTTGATGACCGTGTCTTGGATCGCATATATGTGTTGTGTGTGATTGTTAATGAATTATTTATAATATCACAGTGTGTCTCTGTTAAGGAAGATAAAGACATAAACATTTTGTTCTCTGTACTTATTCGGTTGCCAACCGTTGTTGAAATTTAATTCCATGGGAAGTACACATTATATATTGGGATTAACTTTTATGGTGTTCAATACTTCTGTCTTTTCTTTTTTTTTTTTTTTCCATACAACATTAAAAGATTTATGTGGATTCTTTGATAATGGTAGAACACAAATCTTTCTGTTCGACAATCTTAATCCTTTGAATGCTATGGACGCATATATGCATTTGGTAAAAGTTGATACGTGTGGTTATCAATGTGACGATGAAAAATGTTCCTCATGGGTTTCCACTCATCGTCATGGGTTATAAGTCATGCTTCTAATTAATAACTTACGTCATAAAGTATCCGATGTTCATCGTTCGTAGCTCGGAGCGTTTGAAAAAGTAACTCCTCATAGATTTATCCTTATCCGATCTTATTAATAATCTTTATCGTGATATTGCAAAGAATTATTATGTCAATATCAAAGAAAGATTGACAATGCCTTAATGATGGAACAATTAAATGTGAAGAACATAATTAAAGTATTAAAATAAAAACGAAGAATAATAATGATACTTACATAAAATTACGTTCCAATGTATTATAGTTAAAATGAAATGTCAGTGTTCATTGAACGCAGGAAATGATGATCTTGGATTATCATTGGTAATTATGGTATATATCTTTCTTATTAATTAGAAAGAAACTTATGGGACAATCTAATACGTCATCTCCGGTTTCTCTTCTGAAATAACGGAAGTGTTCTTCTTCTTTTAGTATCATTTTTTCGATTATTATTGCATAAAAGAAAAGTACATTCACACAAGAACGTCGGAGTGCATAAGAGGCGTAGATAAAAAAGTCATTGGGAAATGGGGTCGCGTCCTCGTTGTATTAACATTTAATAACGAATACTTCGAACACAATATAATAGTAGGTACGATGGAAATGTCGACGTACGACACGGCAAAGGCATCCGCGTGTGCGTTTCTGTTGTTACGCGAGAAAGAATATTGCACATTGTTCATGCAACGAGTTGCTATTAACGTGCAATTGTTCCCCTAATTGCACCCTTACCTGTATTATTCGATTGTTAAAAAATAAAGAATGTTGTTGGTAGGTACGATACACGATAGAGATGTCTTAGAACTTCAGCATCTTTATTAATCGTTCAGTAATACATTATATTATTACGCATAGTTTGTATCTCGTTGAAATTTAGATCTTAAAGTCAGTAAATAGATTTAATGCGTAGACGTATTTAAGATTATCGAAGTGTAGATCTTGTAAAAGATTTTGCAAGATATTCGTCGTACACCGTTACACATTTCAAACGTTCGAGTAATGTAAATTTCTTAGCGAATAGTCAAAGTAGGTAGAGTAAGGTTAGAGTTTCAAATTCAAATCGCAACGTCAGTGGTCTTAATTCTTTTGAAAGATCGTGCCAGAAGTAAGATCAAAAGCGTTTCCATTCGGACGAAGTTTGAACAGGTCTGTTTAAAATAAACTTGCAATACATACGCAGAAGTAAGTAACCAAAGATTGTATTTCTACATATACTATTCTATCCAACTATCGTTACTTTTCACCGTGTGTCTCTCGCACGGTAATTGGGAAATAGAATGCATTTGATGCGGTCAAGAGAACGGATTTAAAGTTTTACACACAGGAGGCACACACGCATTTATATATATATATACACGTTTCGGAATTCGTAATAGAACTAGTTAAATTCCTGTCGCGGGAAATCCGAATCTCACTTGCAACATTTACAAATAGTAATTAACTCGATCTCTCGTTAATGGCACATTTTCTCATTAATCATAAGACGAAGAGGAGGAGAAAATCTTGCTACACACGGAACCATCCATGGAACCAACATTGCGATCGAAATACCGTTCTAATTGAATCTCGGCCATAATAAGAGAGTAAATTAATACTTTTTTTTTTTTGGTTTTCTTCCCCGCGAGAGAAACGTTTTACAAATAATTTTCATCTATCTCTCGTCGTTAATTAATGTTACTTTATTTTAAACAAATTTTATTGTCCAATATAAAGCACCATGCAAATCTTGATCCTAACATTTTTTTCTATTTCATATTTACGTTATTTCTTTATTCAATAACAACGAAACGTTAAGGAATGGAAGCTCTCGCTACTTTGAGATAGTAAAAAGTATGCGTTAGAATGTCGGAAGTGTTTGCTAAGTTTGTCGAGTTTTCTAAGAGACTTCAACGAGGATCTCGTTTGAAAAAAGAGATAGAAAGAAAATAAATAAAAGGGGAAAAAGAGAGAAGAGAAGAGAAAAGAAGAGAAGAGAAGAGAAGAGATGGTGTTTAACATCGACAATGCGTTTGATACGTGCCAAATAGGTAGAGGTTCTTGGAAATACAGGAAAATACTAGAATCTCCTTTTATGGTGATACTACGTGCGACATCCTCGATAGGTTTTATACCTCAGAAGACTATAGAAAAACTATTTCGTTTCGACGTATCGCACGGAACCAACTCTTATTCTATTACAAACCCATCGTACTTAACGTTTTTCCAAAGTTACGACCGATTTTTCTTTTTCCAGTTTGTTTCTGTACCATGCTAGCAGCAGGTGTTTGTAATTTACGCGTATGGGACCTTTTAATCTTGTCCACATACACACATATATATGCCATTCACTTTTGGTCATCGACGTAATATTCAATAATTGACTTTCTCTAAAGATGAAAACAAAATTCTCGGTTAAAAAGGTTCGTATTTAATTAAGGACATTCGACCTTCGCGAAAGTTAATTGAAATCGATTCACGTGCTTCTAAAGTAGTTTGACTTTCTCGTCATGGTAATTTGTTGTCTTGTACAATGTTTCAGTTTCGATAGAAAGTAGTTCTCATTTTTCTTTTTTCAATCGTGATCGGCCTAATTTCGAAACAAATCACAACTACATTTTCAAATAGGTTTTTATCTTCCTATTCGTTTTATACGAAAAATAAAATTCTTATTCTTGTTGTTGTTCTTGTTGGTCTATTTTTCAAGTTATAATTCTTTTTCTTTGGTTTATATATTTTTTTTAAGAGATATAATTAAGTCGTTTCCTTGTTCACAAAGGAGACGACATATTATCATCGAAATATCTTTTTAATAATAATTATTGAACTTGAAATATTTAATTTAACGTTTAAAAAAGACGTGTTAAAGAACACGGAGATGAGAAATACAACCGGTTAAATAATTTGCATACAAGGATAGTCGTTAATTCGCCATGTCTAAGACACTTGGAATTTTTCGAATACCAATCTACCTTTTTCTTTTTCATTTTTTTCTTGTTTATCTTTCGAAATACACAAATATATTCATATGACACGAGAAACCTTCGAGAATAATTTACGAAAATAAATAATACGAACGTTCGATTCGTTCCAATCGACCATAAATTTCGATCTAATTTAATACGAAAGAGTTCGCGTTTCGTTTCTTAAACGATACAAAATTGAATACTATTATTACTATTAATATTTGTTCTCTTTTTCAGATGGTGCACCAGTTCCCGAGGACGTAGTCATGCACGAGGTGAGAAAAAAAAATGGTGAAAGCTAGTTCAAATTCAAGGACATTTATTAAGACACGACGAAAAATATTTGCAAATCTTAAAACAAGAATTGAAAGAACTGGAGATAGAATAAAACGAGTTTACCGATTAGTATTTAGTCGAACTATAATTTGACCACAATTATCGTCCACCAACCAACGTATACATTACTTAATACTTAGAAAACGAGAACGTAAATTTCATCTAATTTTTTTCCTTCCTTTTTTTTCTTTCTTTTACTTATAAAAAAGATACGTATTATCGCGATAAGCGAAGTTTTACGTCAGATATAATTTCACGTGACGTTAATCTCGTCAAAAGACCGGATTCATGGTCTTTAATAAGCGTTCAGAACGAAAGAAAAATAAAGAAAATCAGAATTTCATAGATCTTATCAATAATAACAACTAACAAGAGTACACACTACGAACAGAATCTCTACGAAAATACTTAGTGTCTAACATTTAATTAATTTCACATAATAATGAATTAAACAAGGCGCGACACAATATTTTCGTATATTTATATTTATAACTATAACATACTTAAATGTGTATTATTTATTAACGTGCATGTGTGTGCAACTCGCTTGTACGGGATCAACGATCCGTATCTTTTGATTAACGACACGAGACGACTTTCGAAAAAAAGAAAAAAGAACTAAAGAATTTTTACTCCTACATTTATATTTTTAAAATCATGCACTCCTTACGAACATTATTTAAACGAAACGGTTTCCAACGTTTAGACGAGGCGGCTAGAATGGTGAATCAAAGACGGATTATATATATATATATATATCTCAATGGGAATCTTTTCTATGTTGTTCGTGATAGAAAGGACTAATAATAACGTATAGAAAACTTATCCTCTATCTTTGTCGTTTCATACAAACGATGATCATTTATTCGACGAGTTTTGATTGCCCTTAATTCACATATAATTCATACCAAGTGAGTGTTCACCATTGGTGGTAGAGAGAAATGACCATGAGTAATATACATTATGGTATATACCATAATATAATACATGAACGACGACGAGGATGATGATGATGCTAATGCTAATAGGGTAACGCGCGTGCGCATTTCTCACACAAACTTAGAATAGGCTAATAATATTATCTACGCTCGTAATGCACGTTTTGCGAGATCACCGTGCGAGACTAATTTACGTCTCCGTAATCGCGTAATAATAACGTTTCCTTTTCTTCCATTCCCTTTCGTGATTCGTCTTCCGTTCTCAAGCTTCAGCAAGGATCGTCTCCGTTCTCTCAGCCATTTGTAATATTCCTAAGTGTAGAGGTTTATACACGAGGCTTTGTTTTGTTCATTCTCTTTCTCTTTCCCTTTCCCAAGCGCATCCTTTTTCTTCTTTTCTTTATTTAAAGATCTTTTAAAAGTTATCTTCGTTATGTTTCGTGTCGACTTTTGCAACAAGAGTCTCTCCTCCTCCTCCTCTTACTTACCTTTCTCGAATAATTGCCTATTATTTTGCATTAAAATACTCGTTAAATGAATTATCGCGTCCCTCTCTCTGTCTTTCTTTTTTTTTTTTTTCTTCTTCTACTTATATATTATATCTTTGAATTTTTCTTTTCGACGACTGTCTTTATGAAAATCGTTAATAGTGTTATTATTATTATTATTATTGTTCGATGTTCTCTTATAAGAGTCCTAAGAAATAATTATCGAATAATAAGATAAGTAGAAGTAAAAGTATGGTTAATCTAATCGCGCATAATACTTTCGTTTAATTTGCTTCGACGATGACGAACGTATAAATAGCTTTATGTATTTTTTTTTGTTTTTTTTTTTTCAAAGGTCTCAATTATTTTAATCATTATAAAACAAACCAGGAGATAAGAGTTTAAGAACGAACGAATGATTTACGATTAGCAGTAAAGAGAACAACGCATTTCGGAATAATTTAACGAGTTACTCGTGGTTTTTACGTTTGAAAGGAACTTTCCTGTTGAGACTATGAGGATAACGAAAATGGTAGATTATGAGAGGATTGTAAGTTGGAAAATTATAACGAGCCGATTCACTTGGTGATCGTAAAATCCTTGTCCTTTATTACGTATAACAAGCAAACTATTGCAATACATATTTCTTCCTATCGTCTTTCCTACTTGCATAATAATTAATATAACACACGTTAATAATATAACGAATAAAAGAAAATATTTCAAAATATTTTTTCATTCACTTACACTTAACAATAAAAAATAATTGTTAAAACATTTCTTTAACTGTCGATTGTTGTTGCAATTTTTATACGATAGTATCACAACCATAATAATAATAATAATTAGGAATATAATTTAGAGAGGTAAATAATAATATCTATAGATTGTAACATAATTGACCCATGATAGTTAGGTATGTAGATATATCAGTAACAATGCTAGGCGTGTCGTCGATGTGTCGCAAGTCGACTCGCGTGAACGCACGCACGCACGTGCGAAAGGCTAAGACTGTAATAGAACAACTTGTGATGATGGTGGGTTGCTTAGACGTGGGTACATACACACCAACGCATTCACGAGTCCCACCGACAGGATAACTAGTTTCGAAGGCGGTCGCTGCCACGAAGATGCCTTAAATGTCAAGGCAAAGACGTCGTGGGGCAGAGTCGGATCGGATGCTGAACTTTGCATCGTCGGTGTGCTTTTCACTCATTCTTCAATTCTGAAAATATTCCCATTCTATGCATTTGACAGATTGTTCTTTGCAATTGCAATTTTTTTTTCTCTTTTATCTTACTAAGTGTACTGAACTTTCCATCGTCGGTGTGCTTTTCACTTATCCTTTGATTGTGAAAATATATTCCCATTCTACGTATTTTACAGATTGTTCTTTGCAATTGTATTTTTGTTTTCCGCTTTTTTCTTACCAAGCGTATATCAGCTAATCCCGGATGCTGAACTTTCCATCGACGGTGTGCTTTTCACTCATGCTTCAATTCTGAAAATATTCCCATTCTATGCATTTGACAGATTGTTAGATCTTTGCGATTGAACCCTCGGACCTTTTTTTTATTCTTATCGATTAAAATTAACTGCTTAAGAATTTATCTAGATAAAATCTAATCGATTGGACTCTTGTTATTAAAATCAAGTTATTCTTAGTAAATATGTCTTAGTAAGTATGGTTTATCATGTATCAAGTAATAGTGGTAGTAGTAGTACGGGATTTGTATTATAAATGAAGCTTTCTAACTCGTTGAACTTTCTCTGACTCCTAAAAAAAACTCTTATCGTTAGAAAGGCCAACTGGAAATAAAATCAAGGTAATGAGGAAATAATTCTTCTTCCTGTTGCAGGATTCCATAGCATCGGCTTCGGAAACCGGTGATGATTATGCGGACGGCGATGATTCCGACATGTATATGGAGACCGATGGTGGAGAAGAGACGATGACGGATGATCACGATGAAAGTCCAGCGGAAAGGATTGAGTTAGATACGACGACAATGAAAACAAATGACAAGTTGAATGACACGAGTACGAAAGAAATTGACGGGAAAGATCAGGAAACGAAGAATACTGAATTATCTCCTCAAGTTCAGCAACCATCTCAGGATGCTGATAAAAGCTTGGAAACCGAGAGTCAAAACTTCTTTCCATCTTTCGCTGAATTATTCAGTAATCACAGATTACCATTGAACGATCAACAACAAAGATACAGACCCAACAGGTTCTTGGGTTATTTTCAACGTGATCGTGGAGTCTACCAAACAACATCGGCATCTTCGAAAGAGGTGCAACATCCTCTTTTGGGTTCCGGAAATTTCGGAGTTATTCGGGGTGGAACTTACTATCCCGAAGATAAAGAGAACGATGAGTATGCTGTTGAAGATACTCTGTATAATCCTTACTATCATGGTACGTCTGGTCGTGCTCGTGCCAATTACTATAGGAACCCTAAACCTCAACCAGTTAGGGGAGGAGACTTTTTCGCGAATTTCCGTGATTTTGCGGACATCACGGCACCACCTAAGTCGAGTTTCTCTCATCTTTCGGTTGTATACGCTAACAAGAATGGTAGCACTACGGGACGTATCACGGAACCGAGAAACATCATCGAAACTTTGAGAATGTTGGAGGAAGAGGAACAACGATCAAATGGTTTAGAAACGGCAACTACCGAAATCCCTAGGAAGAAGCTTAGCAAAGGGAAAAGGAAATTGATCAAGATGAAACAATACGACGAGGATAAGGCGAGAAGATCTCGCGTATCGGTCGAACCACTTTTAGCATTGAGTTGAAAACTTAATTCGTACTTATTAGTGTTTACGGTTTTAGAGTGAGGGGGGACGACAAACTTTGGGATAACGTCCTAAGCGTAAATAATTTAGCACTGGAGAAAGTTCGATAACTAAGGTCCCTCCCACCCTCCACCAATTACTCTTTCGATTGTAGGAGGTATGCGAAAAATGCGTGCTAGTTTATATCAATCGCATCGAGATTGAGTTATTCATTATCTTTTTTCTTATTAAATTTCTTTAGCAAAATTGTTCATTTCTCGAACAATAACGATCCAACAAAGTGGGTCAGAAGTATAAGATATAAATATCGTTATCGATGATGCGATATATACGTAATATCGTAATAATAATAACTACATTAACACTATGACGTCCGGTGGCTCCACATTGGTGCCATGCGAAAGATTTCGGGTAAATGCCGGTGGCTCCACGTTGGTGCCAT